GGTGAGATTGCCAAAGTGGTTTTCTTCCCACCACTGCTCTGGTCTGGAGGCTTTCTAGATCCAAATTGCATGTGCTGTGTTGAAAGGCACAGCCAGAGCTGCCAACACGAGTGTAAGTTGGAGCAGTGCAGTGCAGTGGCCAGCAGATGGGAGCTGCTGGCATCAGGAATCTGTACTCTGCTGCTCTCAACCAGGACTTGGGACCTCCAGGAATGAATCTTCTTGGCTCACTGGTCCTTTGTAAGATTTGGATACATTCTCATGTATGAACCATGCTATGAGTATCTTAGCAAATAGAACTTAGTGGTGAATGTGCAAAAATAACATTGGGGATAATAATGTCAGTGTGTGGCTTAAGTATTTAGTAGGGACAATTTGATTGCTCATGGAAACTCAAGTATGACCACTCTAAGAACATTAAATAAACATGAAACAGAAAAGCAGTGATATTGTTAAATTTTATTGTCTAAAAAGGTCAAAACCAAAACCAAGAATAATTTGTTGAACAAAACTCTAGCTTTACCATTCTGATTATTATTTTCTATTAATTCTCCTCCTCTTTTGAGATATCTTTTTACTTTCTGATTTAAGTAATGAGAAGGAGAACACTTGCTTTCTATAGTGGTCTATTTTGCAAATACCTAGAAAAGAGTGCAGAATTGCTGTGTTGACACCTGGGTGATTCAAGAGAAGTGATCTTGCTGCAGGAAATGACTCCTTTATTTTTCAGATGTCAGCAATGTTTAGATGAATTGGTGGAGCTCCCCAAGATGTGACTGGTCTCTTAGTGTGGAAGGGGCTGGGTGATGGTGTCACGTTCAGGAGCTGCTGCGGGGGTGAGGGGATTTCCTCCTTCTGGGGCAGTAGCCTTTATCACTCTGCTGTCCCATGGGACTGGCACCTTGGGCCCCCTTTGGTACAGGTGTAGTCAGTATCCTGAATTCTGGGACAGTTTGGGGATAATGACAAAGTTCATTAGTCACCTTTGCCAAGAGGTGCTCGTTACATACAGCAGCCAGCAGTGTGGAGTCAATGTGAGCTCCCCACTGCCTGCACTGCCCTGCCACGTGCACAGGTGGAGGTTGTGCACCACAGACAAACAAGAGCTCCTTCCCCAGCTGCCCTGAGTGGGAACAAGAACAAATGGCCCCAGTGCAGGACTGGGTGAGAGACAGGGGCTGTTTGTCCTCAGGGAGACTCTCACCGTGCCTTGGTCACACTCGGCTTTCTGCTGACTTGGAGCATGGACAAGGTTTGCTTGTAATTGCTTACAAAGCACAAAGGCACGCCTGGATACACCAGTCTGTCAGTTTGTCCTTTTTTTTGACTCAGTAAGCATCTGCATCAGGGCTAGTAGCCATTAATTCAGGCTGTCTTTTGTGTTTAATTGACTTTCTTTGGTTCAGGATATCTCTCCCCTTGCAGGGGAAAGAACTCGACAGTCTTGTCACTTGCTTCTGTAATTTATATTAATTAGCTTCTCCTTTCCCCTCAGACTCCAGTTTGCACAGAGAATTAACTTTGAGCACGAGTACAGATGATTGTAATCCTTGCTATAGTGAATATTAAAAAAATTGATCATTGTCTAGGGTGTCAGAGGCCTCTGAGTGTTTGTCATGTGAATGCTTTTAACACTCTGATTCCTCTAATACCATAGCTAGCCAGAGTAATAATGTGGTGTTAAACTTCTCTTTTTTAATACATGCATGTTCATTCAGGTTTATAAACTGGTTTATATGACACACCATTCTTGTAACCTCCTCTGTGTGTGCCTATGTTCTTTATGCCCTGCTCAGCAGAAAATCTCAAAATACATTCAAGTATCAGGAACTATTCTACAATTCTAGAAAATTTTGTACTGCCCTAGCTTATTTCAGGAGCTGGTTGCTAGTTGGCAGTTAGGTACAAAGTAAGGTGGGAGGAAATAATGTTTAATGTAAGCTGCTGTCTAGCAAGTACTTGAGTATCTTTAATAGATAATGCCAATACAAGAAAATGCCTGGAGAAACACAGCAAACCCAGATGCTTTGGAGAGTTTCTCCTAGCTGCAGTTGACTACAGGTATTTTCTGACATGCCTGTAATATCCTGAGGAAATAAAACATCAGCAGTCAACCCTTCACCTCAGAGAAAAGAGTCTGCAGATATGTGAGAAGTCTTTGCTTCAACTACAGGATCAAAGTTTCGTTGGTTTTGAAAAGGTTTTTCTGTTGCAGAGTGCATAGGGCTGTGGGGAGATATTTAACTGGGCCTGCTGGCCCTGAGTTGTGCAATGTTGTGTGCTTGTGCTAGCAGAGACAGGACTGGAGGCCAAGGTAGCTCCTTGGAGCAAATCAGAGCTGCACTTGTTCCATACATAGCTAAAAGGTTGTAGTCTCTTATCCCAGGTATCCTATGAACCAGGAATTGTGCTGCACGCTCAGGAACCCAGAAAGTAACCAAACTGTGCCCACACTCTGTTCCCTGCAGAGAAGTCCTTTACCTGACAGAGAACACCAGCGAGCACTCAATGACTCAACAGCCTTCCTGCCACTTGTCACTGTCCTTCCATGTCACAAGCACCGCCCATAACAGCAGGGGCTGCACTGTGACAGTGACTGGAGCCTCAGTGAAGTCTGGTCTGTTTGAAAGTCAGGGTTATTTTAACAAGGTTATTGTACCACTTAAAAATAACTGATGGAACCCAATTCTAAAATCCAACTGCACAAGTACAGAATCTTTAACCATTCTTTTCATTTAATGCATTAAAAACGCCTGATTTCATTTTAATATTTTTTTCACTAAAACAGCAAGCCATAAAATCTCCAGCAAACGGAAACAAATTTAAAATTTAAATGAGAACTAAGTCAAAAATTTGGTGATACAATCATGTATTTTCAATTAGATATTCAGAGTCTGCAAGTGATTTTATTAGGCCAATGTATCAGCATCATCAACAAAAAAATTCATCATAATTACCACTTTCATCTGGCACAAATTAGTAGCAGATGTTACGGAACTTTTCCACGTTTATATTCATGGATGCTTGACATTCCCCCATTGAGCTCAAAATACAAAAGCACAGTGAATAACAAACCTATGTTTTGCATCATAATCTGCACTTACACTTTCAAGTCCCCCCACCCTGGCCTGCAGCAGCCACTGCTTGTCAGACTCAGTCTTGGCAGGAGAATTTGCTGCACAGAAAGGGCACCAAACACGAAAGTGGAGCACTGGCTTGCAGGTCAGCTACTGCCCAATCACTGCCACTGTTCCCTGGCCACTGTGATTTACTTCACACCACCAATAACAAGTGTCAGTCCTACTCTGTAGCCCCCTGGAAACCAGAATATTCCATTTTACTTGTTGCACTGGACAGGTCTAAACTGTACATCAAACCCTTCTACATGAGCCCAGCCAGACTCAAAAACACAGACTGAGGAAATATTTATGAGTCAGGGTTGAAAACAAACTCACAGAACAATGCAGGAAAAACAAACACACACCACTACAAAGAAACCCACAATAACAACTCATTGGCTGTCCAAGCAAAATTATCCAGATTGTCCCCGTGCTCCCTGCTGGTCAGGAATCACATAGCTCATAGCAGTGACAAAGTTTGGGAAGGGGAGAAAAGAAGCTTCTTTAAGGTACCTGCATTGCAGACAGGGAAATCTCAGGAAATCATGAATTGGATGATGAAACTCCAATTTCTTAACATACTTACAGACTTTGCCTTCACATGACCACATCATCCAGGAACTAAGTGTACCAAAGGTAGCTTTTTTCTCCTCCCTCAAAGGATTAATTTTTCAGTGAAGTGATTTACTGCATGAACATGAACATTCAGACAAGAGAAGTGGCAGGGACCTGTGGCAAGGAGCACACAGAGAGGAGACAGCAGCCAGGGATTAAAACGCAAAGGACCCACCCTATAAAGATGTACCAGGAAGAGAGGGATTTCTTCCCAGATGTGTTTAAATCCCTTGCTCTCCCAGGTGCCAGGAATTGTCCTGGACTGCCGTGCCATGTTTCTCTGGTGAGCTGTTCTGCACTCTGCTCCATCTGACCCTGGAGCAGCCACTGTGCACCCCCAGCACAGCCACCAAAGAGGCCGGGAATGCTCTCAGGGGAAGGCAGGGAGAGAGGGGGAGGAAAACCTGCCCCAAAATAAAAATCCCAATTTTTATTTTCCTTCTAACCAGGCAGGTACACCTAAAAGATCCCTCAGGGACACAAGCTAGAGCAGGTGGCAGGAAGGACAAGAGGAATTCACAATCAACAGTGGCACTCTAGCAAGAAGTAAAAAGAAAGCTGTGGTGCCTTAGATAAAATACAATTCTAGCCCGTCGCTAGCAAGTACACAAAAAGTCCTGATGTGCCCTTAATTTCTATTTTACAGTACACAGCACAAGCAAAGGAGCAAAAGACTGCATTGTAGAAAAAAAATATACAGACCACATAAACTGGTAATAAACCTGAAATATTCATGCAATGCCACTCTGTCAAAGCATGTGTAGTCTACCAGCTAAAATACTAGCAAGAAAAAACTCACAGCACTGCAGTACTCCCATTTATGACTGAAAAAACCCAGAAATATAACTTTTATCTCACTGAAACCCTGTATTTCTTTGAATCTACATATTATACTTTAATTAAAATGTAGTGAGTGAAGTATATTTATTTGCATCAGGTTACAATTGCAAATAGTTATAAATCTGTACTTGGCGTTAAATATTCCTGCAAACAGGTGTACAATGTCACATTTTCTGAACTAGATAAAGGGGATATTATTTGATGTTAAATTAAGAGGATATCAAGATAGAAAATGAAAAAAAAATTGCTGTATATATACCTTTAAGTATGTTTGAGCAGTTAAAATGTAGCTACATTTATAATTTTGAATTAATGGTGGATACCAATGTTTTTAATGCAATATAAATTGTTACTGAGAACTGGGAATACATGGAGCTTTGTGTTGTTGATTTATTTGGTGATCTGTTTCTTTTTGTTTAAATACAGTAAGAAAATATAGCCCTCCTTGCAAGCATCAGTAAGCAGAGACACTCTGCTCTCATCCCCAACAACTCCTGCTATTTTCAAGAGACAAATGCAGGAAAGCACTTCAGAGCTGCAGAGCATGGCCATAAGGCTTTTATCAGGATTCTTGGAGGTCTGCTGTTTAATGAAATACCAGTAAGAGTGGAAGGTAATTACAAACAGTAACCTGGAGGGCAGGAGAGCATGAACCAGCTGTGCTGTTTCCAAAGCTGGCTCAGACATCTACGAGAAAGATAAATCTGACAGAGTGTGAGCATTGTAATATTAACTATTAATGTATTTTAATCAATGTTTTCTAGATTGTTCTGGGAAATGTAACGTAGCAGGGGAAGGTAGCAAGCACTCCCATACCCCCAAGCTCAGCTTTGCTTTTCATACAGTACTGAACATTTGTCTATAAACTGTAGTTTTTACAAACACAACAGTAAAAGCACCTCAGGTCTGTGTGCTGCAGTATCCATGGGATTCCTCTGCTCCCTCCACAACTCATTCCTCATTCACAAAGCAACAATCCCCTCCTTCGATAACTATGTGCCATTCAATTTCCCTTTCGTCTTCTTGAGATTTTCAAACCCTTAAGCTACCCACAGATAAACATACCCAGCAGAATGCAGGAAGACCCACAAGTTTTCAAATAATTAATCTCTCCTTTCAATCAGTTTCCTTTTACAAGCAAAGAGTTTCCTCTTCTACCAAGTGAAATTTTGGACAAGCTCTTTGTTAGAAAGCTTGAGACAGAGGAGACAGATTGTCTGGCCTCCCTAAAGACAAGCAGGAATATTACTTCATGACACATATACCCTACAGTGTGTTCGGGGGGGGGGGGGGGTGTTACATTCCATGGCTGTAGAGATTCCAAGGATTTCATGACTATGAAGAACCAAGTGCCACATAAACAGAAGTTGTCTGTCAAATACAAGGAACGTGGCTGTTGCTCTCAAAATTTGTGTTACAGGGCAATAGACAAACCAATCACACACTGGGATTGTGGACTTCACACTACATAAGCTCAGGGAAAAGCACAAAACAGCCTCTGTGAAAATGAGAAACAGGAGGCAGCTGTATCTTAGGGTCTGTCTTACCTAAAATTCCAGTTCTCATTCTGTGAATTCCCATTAAAAAAGGGGAGGCATGGGGGGTGAAGAAAAAAATTCCAGTTTTAGCTCATCACCAATGTTCACTTTGTTTTCTGACAGCAGTTTCCTCTTGGAAGCAACTGTTTGCATTTCCAACTGGTTTTTGTCTTTGCTGCTGGACAGATCTTCAGGCAGTGTTAATGAGGTTGAGGATTTGCACAGTTCCACTTGTCTGAAGTACAGCTGTGCCAGCTCACACAGGTACCTGCCCAGCAAGCTGAGCAGGCAGATCCCAACAGCAAACATTCCACCCTCCCCAGAGGATCCAGGAGCGAGGATCAAACTACACCTCTCAAAGCACAGTCACACACGTGTCCACCCTCAACTACAATTCCAGGCAAAAAGGGGCAGTGTAAATTCCCTCAGGGAAGGGATACCCAGCACATTGCATGGGAAGGTGACAGAGAGCCAAGGAAATGTGTCTGTGTGAAGGCAGATCCATCAGCCAAGGGCACAGAGCAAAGAAAGGTCCCTGTTCCTGTGGGTGCCACAGTCCCAGGACACCTCACGCTGTGCCACACCACAATCAACCTCAGGGAAAGCCAAACAGAAGCTTCCTGTGTTTGCCCGAGGCACTCGGTGCCAGCAGGGACCCTGCCTTGCCTTCTGGCTCTCCTGACTCTGCACAGCCACTGCTGATGTTCCAGAGAGGGCAGAGATCCCTGGGCCTTCATTTCCCTGCTCAGAGCTCCACATAATCCCTCAAAGAGTTACTCTCTGGGTTGCAGCATTCCATAATAAGTATTTCCGTAGCTGAGTTTTCCCTTCACTGCTTGCAAACTGACATTGTTTAAAGTCACTGAAGCAGAGAATGCAAAAGACTGAAGTAAATATAGCTAGAGCTAGACTGCCTGATTTGGCTTCAGAAAGGGGGGTGGAGAGACAAAGAGAGCTGTGAAAATTACACACATTACAATGCTAATTAAACCTTGTCTCTTCCATCTCACTGGAATATTTCAAGTTTTCTACAAACTGTAGCTCAGTACCAACTTCAGAGCAATCTGTCACTTTCAAACTTCTTAAATACCCAAGTATAGATTTCAAAGCCTAAATTTAGTCCCCTGATATGCAAATCTTTATCCTGGAATGGATTCTGGAGGAAGCTTCTCGATTGTAAAATAGGGTCTGGTTGCATGTTCAGACTGAAGCAAAGGACGTGATTCAGGAGCAGAGCTTGTTTACTTTAGAACATCTGTGTGCTCCAAACCACACATTCTAACACATTTTTCAAGGGATGTAAGATTTGGGACTGATGGGGTAGGAAATGCAGAACTCTGCATTTTGGAGAACTCCCACATGAGAAGAAAGATTGCACTGTTTGGTTTTGAAATACTAGTAAGAAGGCACATCAAACCCCATAGAGAGAAGTTACCCTTAATTAAGCAGTACAAAGCCGTCTGTGACAGCCTGGTTGATAAATCACAGCACGGTGACTGACGACAACTACAGCAGTAGAACAAAAAAAGTCTTAAGTGGCTGGATGTGCTCAGCATTCAGAGACAGAAAAGAGCATCTTGCACATGTAAAAGAATGCCTTGGCTTTGGTGCTCTTCAGGACCAGAGCTGGTCAGGAAGAACCAGCCAGGCTCTCAGTAAACACTAGAAACAATCCATGCAACCTGGGAGTTGCATGTTAAATAATACTGAAAGCTCACATTGGAACTTCAACTATTTGGAGCAAATCACGGAAACTATGCATGGACAGGGGCCAGAAAGGATTGGATTGCAAAAGAAATTATCTGAATCAATGAAACTGTAAATGGAACACACTAAAAGGAGCCCCCAAGTGGTGAAGCAAATTAATTTCCACTGAGAAAACAAACCCCTACTTTTAAAGTTATTTTCTAATTTTTCCCGAGTTTCATAAGATCTTTCATTTTTGGCAGGACACCTTCTGCTAATTCAGCGTTGCTGGTGTAAGTGCTGGGTTTGTGAGAACTCTAAACACGAGCAGAATGCAAGATGCAAGCCCCGAGGAAGAGCCCAGGGCTGGCTGCTAAGGCAGGGCCTGTAGCTGGACACGTGAATTAAAATCCTCCCTCCCATTCTCTGCCTTTGTCACTGAACATCAGCAGTGCTGAGCACTTGCACAGCAGGTGATCCCGAAAACTCGGCTTGTTTATAAAAGCACTTTCACAAACCTTCATTAGACTGAGGATGACTGTTTATATGATTTTAGTAAACAATATTACACTTCTGTTTAATTATGTTAAAACTATAGAAGTTTAGGACACCTTCAAACGTGAAATGCATAGGAGTTTCAAATTTAACATCAGGCATTTGAAACCTTTTGCTCATTTTCCAAGGCAAACAACTGGGTATCTAGGAAACAGTTTTAAGATGCTCTTTAATTTACAGTCATATTTCATACAGTGTGTAAGGCTGTCAATTGCTGACCTCACAGATCAGACAGCCAGACAACTAACTAAGGCTTTTGCCTATAATGAATTGCAAAAGATGGATTTTAAAACAAAATTATTTAGGCATAGCTTTAAAATTACTTGAACTATGGTTTAACTTGCATTATAAAATGTGAATCAAATTATTTTGTAGGCTTCACAGCTTGTTTCAATACTCTTTTCATCACAGTACATTCAGACTGTTTTAATCAACATCATGAGAGCCAGACAATGTTCCCTCTTGCTGCCACATCCCTGCTCATGACCCTGCAATGGGGAACACAGCAGAAGGAGCATTTAGGAGCATTGTGGTAGAGAATAACAAAGCCTGGCTTCCACTTTCCAGGCTGCATAGACCGTGAAGCACCGACAGATACAAAAACCCCAAACAAACCAGCTTTTAGGGCCTGGCCCCTCAGTCTTACCCACCCAAAGTCTCGTGTGCATGTGGGACATGGGTCATTCAAGTTCACATTTTCTTCACATCAATATCACAGGCTCAGTTTTAAATGTCTGGGGGAGTTGCAAGGGGTTGCTACAGCTAGAGGATCACCCATCTGAGAAGGAAAAATGTCCAGATGCAAAGAGCAGACTTCATTTGGTTTGCAGTGGAGCTGAGGCGTGTTCCTCCCACCGCAGTCAGATCCGCATGAACAATGAGTGAGGCACAGACAGGGCAGTGCCCAGCTCTCCCAGTGCCAGAAGGGACAGGACACGCCCTGGCTGTGGATGTGCAGGGACAGACAGACTGCTGTTGCCCCTTCCTCTCCTGAGAAGGGGATGAGGAGCTCACAGCACTCTTTACCCACACCAGAGCGAGATGGATTTGATGGTTAGCAGCTTGTTGGAAGCAGCGGCAGCTGTGGATGTCCAGGCCCCCAGGATGTGTCACTGACCTCGCAGCACAGGCACACACAAGGCGGGGCCCGTGGCGATTATTCCCGAGGCAGGTTGCTAATTCCTGTCATGAATACACAGCCAGGTTCTCCAGGCAGCACCAGAATAACAACGAGGCTCCCGGGCCGTGCCTCTCCCGTGGCGGAAGTGAAATCCATCCTCGTGATTGCAGACATCAGCGCGCTGGCTCAGACCTTCAGCCGGCCTGATAAATGCGATGGTGCTTTTCCAAATCTACTGGGACGAGTCAGGTGACTAATGATTTCCATTAGCTTCAGCAGAATGGAAACAAAACAGATCAATACAAATGATTTGCAGCAAGTTCACATCATAAATTTCCTTTTGCCCAGTTCCATCATTTTAAAATAGAAGCGTTCCCCCCACACAATATGAGAAGAGGCAGTAGTGATCCAGAGACGTGATCATTCCAGTTACAACAAACTGCTCGTGATTGCAGCTCGGAGTGCTTTTTAATCAAGCGGTAATTTTACTCAGTGATACATAATGGTATTATTTTAAATGATATCAAACAATAAAACTTGTAATGACCACATTATTTTTGGAAACTGAATTGGATCCTACTGTTACGTAAAGCTATAGCAATTCTAAATTCTGCTTTTACTTTACTAAAATTACCTCAATTTTATTTTTCTCCTCCTTTTGTCTATAAGCATTTCTAAACCCTGTTTGTGAAGGATATTTTGAGAATCACCAGTTCTTGTATCCTTGAGATCAAACAGCAGATTACGAGCATGCACTGCATAGAACAGCTTGCACATAGCTCCTTGTTCTTCATAGCTGCCTATACTATTTAACAAACTAGAATCCCAAAATACACTCATCTTCTGTATCATAGAGGAGATACACTGATTTATGAATCCCCTCTAATGAGTAAATCATCAGTACTAATGAAAAAGAATTCACAAATGAAGGAAATTGGGTGAGGCAGGAGAACCATTCATTCCTTCAGGGCAGGCTCAGCGCACCCCACTTTCAGAGCTGCATAACACACTTGTACACCAACACCTTGTGGGGAAATTGCCTCGTAAAGAGTTCATGGAGTGACAGACAAACACAGATGTTTCTCATCTGCACTCACATTCTCCTGGTATTTCTGTACAGTCATAAATACTAGTGATGTCTCCTTAACTAGCTCTGACCCTGGGCTCATTGTGATGCCAGAGCTGGTTCCACAGGTTAATTACCAGTCACAAAGGGAAAACAAGCTTCCCATTGAATTAAGCAGTCTCCATGTCAGATTCAGTATATTGTCTTTACCTCTTATTACAAAAAAAAGAAAAAGAGAAAATTGTCTTTTTTTTTTATTAATACTTGAATAGAATCTTTTCAAAACCTTTCTCCTCTTGACACAAGGGAAGGAGGTGGGTGCAGTTTCCTCCTCAGGGCTGCTACACACCACCCTTCATGGGGGCACATCCCCACCTGCCTTGTCACAACACTTGACTCTTACCTCTCTCCACTCACAAGTCACACAAATTGGCACTGGGAGAAAACAAATATTCCCCTGATATAAAGCCATCCTACTTTTTCATTTTTGTACTTGACAATATAAACCAAAGAACTGCTGTAAATCACCAGTGGATTCATTTGAGTGCTGGGATCCTATCTAGAAACAAAGCTTAAGAAATCTGAACTGAATCAAAACAGTACCATGGGTTAGAAGTTACAGATCAAGTACTGTCATCCATTGGTACATATTAATACTTACCTGGAGGAAAAATAGTTCACCAAAATGTGATTTTACAATTTATTTCAATAAATTAGAGCAGTCTTAGCTGAAAGCTGTCTAATTATCTGAAAGCTAATTAGAATCAAATAGCCTCCCCTTTAAAAGGTAGAATAAAAGGCTAAGAAAATATATATTTTACTTAAGCCAGAATTTCAGCAATATCACACAATGCTCTGTGCTGTAAATTACTTCTAGCACAAAGCACTGTTAATTCATGAATAGTAAGAACACCAAATTCACAGATGCAGCACCTGATGAACATCCACCAGCTGTTGCATTTTCAAACAGGATACGAGAGGCATTAGCATGATTTTATTTAATGTGGAAAGCAGAATGGATTTCAGCACAAATTCCTGGTGCCATTATGAGATTTACTGTTGGACTCTGATTCTATCTCCCTCTCCTGCCCCTTGCACCCCAAGGTTCCTCAGCAAAGTGGGATTTTTGGCATGCACAGCTGAGCACAGAAGTGCAGGTTTCAGAAGAGGTTCCACCCAGCCCTGCTGCAGCCTGCTGAGCCCTGGAGCACGACGCTGGCTTGGTGTGACACAGGTACTGCAGTGACAAACCTGTGACAGCTCTGCTCTGCAGGACGCTCTAAGGACATTTGCTGAGGAGTTTCCCTGAAGAGTCACCTGCTGAGCACCTTCCTGTCCAATTCCTGCTAAAGAAATCAAGCACCACAGTGCAGACAGGTGGGTTAAACTTCACTTTTTCCATCTGTCAGGAAGCAGAAACTGCACTGGAGGGTGGGGAGCATTTATGTGCCGTCCATCAGTATTATTGGGATCTCCACACCTGCATTCACCCCCAGAGCCCTTCTTTGTTCAAGTCAATTCAAGTCATTTTACTGTTTGAAGTCAAAAGCTCTGATTTTTTGAATTCCTAAATTGATCTAGATCACAGAAATGGAGTTTTTCCCCCTCAGCAGATATGTAGTACCCAGTTCACAGGGTATTTCATCAGTTGCTTTAACATCCAGGAAGGTTTTTACATCAGTTCTGCAAGTGTCAGCTCACTGTAATGCACCACTTTGGGAAGAGTGAGTCAAATGCAGCCATTTTGAGTGTTTGAGAGGAACTGATCAGGAACACAACAATGAACTGCAATGTGGATTCCACACCTGCACAGAAATAAATGCAGTGCCTACAGCAGCAGTGCTGATCCTTCACAACTGAACTGTATTGTCAGCTGTGTGGGGGGCAGATACAACAACAGCACCAACAGCAAGGGCTGCAAGAGGCTGGTAGCTTTTCTGAAAGCCTCCATGAGGCTTCCAGCTTCTCAGGAGGGAAAGGAGGAAAACAAAGATGTGCCTCTAAAATGGTGAGCAAATGGTCACTTTAGGACTGCAGCTGTTTCTCTCTGCAGGAGGCACAGAGAAGACACCAGAAGAGTATTTGGCAAAGATGTTCAATACATAGAGAAATACATAATGTGTGATCTATGGTGCTCTGCTTTCCCCTTAAACAAATCCCATTCCCAGATGGCCTGCAAGATATTAAACTATTGCTTATGTTTGCAGTTCCAGCTGGAGACTGCATATAAACAAAACGACTTTTCTAAGTCTCTTTGCAATACAGTAGAATGTTTATTTTTCAATAAATCCCTTGAACAACATTAGATATAAATACAAAATATATCAAATTTCAGCACTAGCTTACCACTTCACCACAGTTATTAAAAAAATAAAATAAAGCAAGAAAAACTTCCCTTGGTCCAGCCTACCAAGAAGAAAAATCAGGGTTCTAACTAGGTCCTAACTGCCCTCCAGGCTTTAGAGGACTTCTCCAAACACCACTCCATGAATGAAAGCAGAAACAAAGATCCAGTGAACCCAGGAAATGTCTCAATTTGAAACAGTTTAATGAAGAACTTTAAAAATATACCACAAAGCGTACAGCCTTTGGTACTCTAATTGGCTGCATAATCTCCAATTAAACAGTTGCACCTAAAACAAAAATGGTGTGGGAGAAAAATCACACTCTGCAAGAATTCACGGGGTACAACACATTTGGAATTGTTTGGCTCCTAATTAAGCTTCCCTTAAGTACACAAGGGGGGGAAAAAAGGGATGTCAGAAGACAATACTGAGAGTATCAACTAGATCTAGGGATGGCCAAGTATTTTAAAGGAACTAAAAGACAGAAGAGTGCTAAAGACATCCTTGAGGCAGCAAAACTGGACTCGGAGAGGAGGAGCAGCAATGAGCTCTCCCATCACATCAGCACCCAGTGACAGAGGCAGCTGGCCAAGCACTTGACAGCTCTGCAGGACTGCAGGAGGGGAAAACACTTCAGACCATGCAATTTAAGAAAAATCTTTCTCCATGGCTTTGCTTAGGGGGCAGACCTGAATAAAAAAGGAAGTTCCTTCCTCCCAAGTGGTATGGAATGGCAGCCCTGTTAAGCACAGAGCTTCTTCCCTGTTCTAATCTGTGCCATGAAACTCAGCTGCATCCTCCAGGCCTTCCAGAAAGCAACATGAACATTTAAATTTAACGTTTTAATCAAAGGACTACCTTTGAAGGTCTTTTCCTTCCTGTAAACTTCTGTTCCTGCTTTTACTTTCTGCCCTTCTGAATTCTGCTAATCCCTCTGCTTGTTCTCTGCTGCTTTCCTTCATTTCTCCTCAGAGCTCTCCAAATAAAAGACTACATCAAGGCATGGCATTTCACACACAGAGTGCTTCTGTGCTCACCTGTTTGTTGACAGGAGTTCAAAGCCCATTCCAGAATCTGGAATTGTACATGGAAGTCAGTAACACATATGTGCAAATGATGGGCAGGAAAAGCCTCCCAGTTGCTGCAGCAGCTTCTAGAGCCCGTTCTATCAGGCTGGGCTCCGGGGAGCACACCGGGGCACTCCCTGACACAGGAGGGTATCGAGTGTTCTGCTGAGCTGTTCCTCTCTGTTCCCATCCCTTTCTGCTCCATCCCTCTCCTCCCCTCCCCTTTCTGTCTAGCAGCCATTCTTAGAGCTCACAGCTCATGCAACCCAGAGTTACTTTTAGCTTTACAGACAGGCACTTTTTACATTTTTTTTTCCTGATGCTGGTCTCTTCCTGCTCATTTTACTCATGCTCAACAAATCAGTATAACAAATCACTACAGGTATGGTAAACAGATAACAAAACCTATAGAAATAGAGATCATTCTACACGTGTTTTGCTTAAAGCAGTAAATCAAATGAAGGCTTCCATGAAGAGAGAAACCTCAACACTATGAGCAGCATTTAGCAGAACAGATTCCATCCATTCACTTTCTTTACCTTTTTTTGAGCAGAAGGGTGACTTTTAATATACTGTATAGCAAACATTAATATACTGACACAGCCCATGCTTCCATTTGTTTAAATCCAGTTCTACAATATATTTACTGCCTGCTGATGCAAGTTCCACTCCAGGGAACTAATTGTCTCCATTTCCCCTACACCTGTAATATGAAACTCTTTTAGCCTTTGCTGCACTGCTAGGATGATAGGGATCGAATACTCTAGAATCTAAGCCTGATTTGGAAGAGCACTTTTAGTCATTATTGAGAATGTTCTCATAACCTTAGTGCACTCAGCAGTACATTCCAAGCTGACTCTTTTATCCAGACTGCAGCACCTTTGGGTTCTTTGCCTGAATCTGTACACGTCTCCTGACAGACAAGGTCTGAGCTGCAGGCAGCCCAGGCACTTCCAGAATCTGGGAAGAACGTGGAGCTTTGTGCCTTGGCCTTCCTGGGAGCTCAAGTACAAGACACCAAACTTCAGATGGACACTCAGAAAAACAACAGCAAACAAAACCACCAAACCAAGCAGCCATCACCAAGCACAAATTGGGGTTTTTTGGGCTGAAAAACCCAAAGCTCACAATTGGCCACCTTACTTAAACACGAAAGCCTTTGAAAATGCTGTTCATTATGTCTGCTAACATCAACCTCCAAAGTGCAGCTCCCCCATTTCAGCTTCCATGGGCAGACAGAACAAGTCTCAGTGCATGCTTTACTTCTTGTTTCACTGCTGCAGCTTTACATAATCCCTAGCAAGGGGGAGGTGTTACCGAGGGATCCCTCAGTTGCCATGTTCCACAGGTTAGTGCCACAGGTCAGCTGCTATTGTTCCTCGCCTCCTGTACCTGCCAGTCTCTGCTGGCAGAGACCAAAATCCCTGACTCCCTTCTCACCTTCTTTAGGCAAAACCATTGCAGAAGAGCTTTCCAGGTTCAACAGGGCCTTGCTCTGGAGTAAGGAGCTGCAGCAGGCACTTGCCAGCAGATAAAAGGAAACATGACCACAGCCCCATCCCAGCAGAACCCAAAGTAACAGGGAAGAGATTAAATAAAAGATGAAAACCAGAAAGAGCCCACATAGAAGACCATCAGAATAATAAAATACACACAAACAACCTCAAAGCACAAACCCCCATAATTTTACACAAAGCCTCAAGACAATGATGTCCCCACCAGAGCAGGCACCCCTCTTTCACAAGCCCTGGTGGTGAGACTGCCACTGAAGTGAGGGTAGCAGAGCTGCGAGGGATTCAACTCCTGCCCTTCCCCTTGCAGACACAGAGGCCCTCACAACCTTCCCCCAGCTCTGCCTGTGAACCCACGGGTCCTTCTCTACCCCAGACAGCTGAATTTCAGTCAGTATTCAAAACCCAGCCTGCTGGAATTTACTTCTTTAGCTCTCAGTGACCTGAGCATTTCACAGCTGCTGTTCTCCTGCCTTTTCTCCTCTCTAGCTTTAGCGAACACTTCTCAGTTCAGTTCCATTAGCTGCATTGCCACTCTCTCGTTCCTAGGAAGCCACTACCTTTTTGACTATCTATCCTAAACTAAAACGACTCCCTGCAAATCAACCAAAAAAAGCACACCCAGCACAAAAAAGCTTTGTCTTCTCTAAACCAGGGATGTGTAACACTTGGATTAAACAAAAGCCTTTTGTCTTATTAACTATAAAAGCATTTCTGTTTAAGCCATCTCATGCTTCTGGAAGGAACCCACGTTAGTGTAATTCTGCTCCAAACCAGTCCTGTTAGATCGGTTTTAAGGGCTGGGAAACGGCAGAATTAGTGGCTGATCATGTGCTGAAGTCAGTGCATCACAGATAACATCCTACTGATCTCAAATAGAGATGGGAAAGTCAAGCAGCTCTATTGATCTGTGTGAGATCTGCTGCCAGCAGAGTACTGCAATCACCCCACACTGAGTTCTTACACACAGAGCAGGTACCCTTCAGCTGCTGGCAGCTGTGTCACCTGCACCAGCCCAAGTTAGTCCCCACAGCACACACCAACATCCAGAATAACAGCAGTTGTCAGAGTCTGCTTTAATCTCTGCATGGACTTGGGGTTTCTTTGTTAATAGTACTTGCAATTAGGAATAAGTACAAATTCTGCTGTGCCAGCCTATCAAATGATAACCAGCATAAAGAAGATGGGGAAGGGCATGGGTCAAACCGCTGCCACATTAAATTGGCTGGACTGCCAGGCTGCACATGGCCAGCATGAGCCACAGCCTCTAAAGCCAGAGCTGCCAGCATTGTTCCTAGCATAAAAAGCAGTCAGCTCAATCACTGAACATTTCATTTCAACAATGGGAAGCGGCGGAGTTGGGCACTGAAGGATTCCTATCTGCAGAGCAGCATGAACTGAGCACAAATCTGCACTGAAGCCTCTGGCTGGGGCTCAGGCTGCTGGGAAGCCAAGCCAAGGGCACCAAGAGCTCAGCAGTGCACTCCCTTCCCCAGGGAGGATGCACAGGCCTCTCCCTGGCAGGGACCTGTGGCTCAGGGGTACATCCGAGCTGCCTGAGCCCCTGTGGGTGTCACACAGCCAGGAGCTGTGCTAAGCTCTGTCCCAGCAGCTACATCCCAGCTGCCTGAGCCCCTGTGGGTGTCACACAGCCAGGAGCCGAGCTGAGCTCCGTCCCAGCAGGTCCATCCCAGCTGCTAGAACCACTGTGGCACAGCCAGGAGCCGTGCTGAGCACTGGCACCAGGGGACAGAGGTGCTGTGCCACACGCCGTGCTCTGGCCAGGCTGCTGTCCCCTCCTGGCTCCAGAAAGCTGCTCGAGCTGGCTCATTTGCTCCCTGGCTGACTCATTCCCTGCACACACGGTTCCGTGAACACCCAATGCTCCTCACTCAGCTGCCCCAGCAGCAAGTCCAGCTGTGGAAATGGCACTGCTACCCAGAGATGCTAGCAGGATATCATGGCCTTTCAAAGCACAGCTGACAAATGCTGTCTCCTGCTCCATTCTCCTCTCATTGGCATCATGAAGGAGGAACGAATTGGCATGTGCTGGAGGACTGGAAGTAGATTTAAAAACCAAAAAACTCACCATTCCCTGACTCCTAAAAAGCACACAAACAAAATACAAACTAGCACATCAGCTACAAATAAGTCAGTAAAAACACACAAAAGCAGGCAATGGAAATAAAAAACCACAATAATTTATTTGAGGTCAAAGTAAAAACTATCATTTCTGGTCGCTCTAGAATTCTCCATCTTGCCACAAATATTTTAAATATAAATACTTGCCTGTGGAAGGTTCCCAAAATTTAGCTCACATTAATATGCCTTTTGTTTGATGTTTGCCCTCTTGAAAGACTGAAGTCTTTTCAGAATGATAACTGTGATGTTATCTTTTTTTAATGTCCATTGAGAGTAAAGCAGCTAATACATGTAAATAGAACTGAACGTATACTTATTATAAATGGATTTGGAGTTTGAGTGCAAAGGAAAACAAACTATATTCCCTGAACAAATAGATACTTGGTTAATTCCTAGCAAGACCTAATCTCCACACCAATCCCAGAGCTCTGTGCAAGAAACTCTGCAAGGCCAGAGAAATCAGTTAGTTAATGCCTTGTATTTCCTCCCACATCAAATGGGAGAATGAGATTCCTCTACTGCACTGTATTATCTCATCCTCTTTAGAAAGTGAAGATAAAAACACACAGCTCTGCATCCTGGGAGGAGTGGAGGGAATGATATTTGAACAATTGCATTATTTTATCAGGTAAGAAGTGTGAGAGCCTTACTTGGCTTTTTCCACTGCAGATTCTTCAGCACCAGGACTGAAGTTCAGCCCCTGGTCTTGTGTCACTCTCAGCCACAGGCTGCAGCACAGAGACTTCTGACACAGAAGAGAACACCTCAGTCTCCCTACACCCAAGCTAATTTTTCTAAGACAAAACATTGCCAACGTGTTCAAGCACATCCACATTTTCCAGAGCATTCCAAGGTGTCAGATACAACCCCTAGAACTTATGTTTTTAAAAGTAACAGATGTGTCCAACAGATCTCAGTTGCCTTGCTATTTCACATTCGATAAATATCAGCAAATTTTCCAGCACTTGAAACATACCAAATGTTTCCTATGTTTGCACACTGATGTTTGTGCACATTTAGAAAAACACAGCATTTTAAACAAACAATGAAGTAATATTAAAACAGAGCCAAGTGCTTTGAGGAAAAAAAGATTTTCAACTTTCAACAGCATGTACAGATGGGAAATCAGATTTTTTAGATACAACTTCTTAGACAGCATTTTCATGCAATATTCCTAAAGTAGAAGCCAACTCCTCATTTTATTAGCAGTAGAAAAGCCAAAAGCAGAGTATGGTCTACTGAAATGCTCATTTTAGGTTCATATGAACAAACCAAAGCACAACCCCACTGGATCCTGTTGTTTCTTCCTAACACCACAGAAGTATAATAAAATATTGAATGTGCTCATATTGACATTATTCTCTCATTTCAAGGAAAATGCTTTTCCAAATTCACCCTGAGGAGCAGAAGGCAAGAACTATGGGCAAATCAATGTTCATGTGATGCTGTATTTATTTAAAAGCAGCTTTTCAAGCAGCGTGTAGCAGTGATGCTCTGAGCAGCCCTGCCCTGCTGAGGCAGGCACAGGCTGAAGGAGCAGCCAGGGCCATGGAAAAGTCTTCCTTCTGCACCCTTCCCCAAAAAACCCATCCTGGGGGCAGCAGCTGGACACCCACTCATGAGCTCATGCTCATTCCCACAGCAGCTCCAGCTTCCTCAAGGGCCAAATCCTAGATTCTCTTGAGGAGCTCCGGTTGCTTCACTGATGCTTCACAAGCCAAGCTGGACTACAGGTCAGTTTAAGACTCCACACTACAAAACGTGCTTGTGAACTGCAGCTTCTGTGTAAAAGTCAGTTTGTGAAACAACCAAAATTGTAAAGAAATGTTTAATGACAAGTAAGATGGTCCTTTGTCAGCTACATTCCTGACAGTGTCCCCATACATTATACACAAAGACCCCAAAACCAAACAAAAAACAGAAGGAAAAGAAACAAAGGGAAAAAAAAAAAAAAACCTAAAAGAAGTGCCTGGGATTCCCTCTCCCAGAGCACGAATGTATTTTCAAGACTTGACTTACTCCTATCTTCCCTGAGAATATCTGGTCTCCCTCAAGGTAGCAATCACTAACATTTTCAGAAATAAATAATAAATCCACCATACACAGGGTCATAATTAAAATAGAAAATTCATCATTCCAGTCTATTAATACTCACAGAGCCAGAATCCAGTTCACAACATGCCTTCAAGCCTCGGTCTGCAGAATGCTGAACCTAATCTGTTGGAGGTGCAGTTGTTAAATTCTTGTAGAATTGCTACAGATGCTTGAAGGTTAAACCAACAGAATTATAATTTATGGGATTTAGAACATAACCACTAACTGATGGCTGCAGAATTTGATAAGGCTCTTATCTTTCAAGCAAGCCACACTATGGGATGTGCCAGTCACAAACCACTACCCTTTTAGTTTCCTCTTCCTCCAGGAGAAAGGCCTGAGTACCAGTGTTCAATATGGATGAGGGCAGCTCATGATGTCACCCTATTCCAAATTCCAGCTGCAGCAGATTCAACATGCAGTATGTTAAAAACTGAAGGTGTGGAGGTTTTCTGGTTTGTTTTTTTCCTTAAACTAGGGTCCTGTTGTGGACAAACTGCCCATTTCCTCTGGGGACAGAAAGCAGAGAGCACCTCAGAGCAAACCCACTTCCTCCGTTCCCAACACTCCCCACAAGCTCTCCTCAAGCTCAAAGAAGCAGCATCCTGAGCCAGAATGGCTGGTTCATATCATATCTCAAGTCCCTCCAGTTCCCTTCCTTCCTGCCAAAAAACCTGAGTGCAAGCTGTGTGCTGCCCAGCAGCCCTCCCTCCCTCCCTCCTGATGCCCCCTGGGTTCTCAGGCAGGCACAGCTCAGTGCTCACAGAGCTGCTCTGCACTGCCAGAGGGGCCCTGCTCCAGGACAACCAGTGCCCCTCAAGTGACTCCATCAGTTGGCAACAAAGTACTCAGCGTGTTCTGCTCCAGCCTGAAAGCAGCTCCTCCTGCCTATCGTTAACAATGCTCAGTACATCACTGCTCTGTAACAGCATCATGGACTACAAACCACTTGCACAACTCTCAGGGCTCTCATCTCCATCCCTTGCTACTTGAAGAATAAATCCAACCTTTTGGATATTTCCCATTCTCTGTGCTGAGACAAATGATGGAGCACGCAGAGCAAGGGACACGCAATCCTCACATTCTTAGTGCACTCTTTTCTAGGAGGCTGTGTGCTGTGATACACCTGCAGAAAACAGATCTGTGTTACAGGAAACTGCATTTTATTAGCCACCAAGACAAAGTACTAAACAGAAATGTAAAGATGCTCAAATGGAAATTAATCAATCTGATACTCTAAACTCACTCCAGTGACCTAACAACAGAAAACTATTTCCCTTAGGCTGTCCATGGGAATTTAATTTACCTCAGCAGCCACCTGCACCCACAATGTTAATATTCTCCAATATTTAAATTTTCCTTTCCTTCTGCACCTGTTCATGCAGGCCCTGCACTTTCCCCAGGAAATGCTCCTGTACACCTCAGAGAGCATTAATCATGGCTCCATTCCAGTAATGGATGCACTGTGGCCTTCCCAATTAAACAGCAGCCAGCAACTGTACCACAGTGTCCACAGGCAGCAAGTACAGATATTTACTTCATCGAAAAGCCTTTCTGGGTATCTACAAAATACATACACAGAGCTCCTAAGCAGGCTGTCCTTAAGTGTTCCTTTCATTTGTGCTTTACATGACTCCTAGTTTTTCACCATTAATATAAACCCCAGACATGCAGCAGGAGTGTTGTTACATTGCAGCTCTTGAGATGATTCCATCTGTGATCCAATACAAACCTGCCATAGCACTGGGCCTCTCTTCACATACAAAAGTATCATCCCTTTGTTCTTGGTCTGAATTTCACCTTCCCCAACCTTTTCCCATTTAGCACCTCCTTGGCTCTACCTTTGTTTCAAGGAGATGAATGTGACACACCAGGCCCAAGTCAGAGAGCGAGGGTCAGCTGGCAGGGCGATCAGAGGAGCATAGAGCAGAGGACACAGTGCAGGACACCAGCTCCAGATGAGCCATGACACCATCACAGCCTCGTGGCACCCTCCCGAGCCCCATCCTGCCAGCTGCTCACTAGCAGAGGCACCAGCACAGCACGCTATCGCTCCCCACTCTGCCAGCTCGTACATCTCTGTCCAGTGTTCCCGTGCATAGCAAAGCACACCTACTATTTGCTTCAATTCCACAGCTTATGCTAAACTTTGGCTTGTCAAAGCATCTGGAAGACAAGAAGTAATGTGGCTGACGCACAGAGGAAAAAAATTATTTTATCCTCTTTCTAATACAGATCTACCACTAATGCTGCAGAATATTTCCTCCTGCAACTCAGCACCATCTCTCTTCTCCTCACCACCCTGTCACTGCCCCTATATTTACTCTTATAAAAGTACTTCATCATAGTTTGCTTTAAAGTTTTTTCCCCGTGAAAAATCTCAGTGTAATGGAGCATTCAATCAAGAGGCCCACGGCACACAGCCAGGACTCTGAAAGGGGGTTTGGTGATAGATAAAGGTAATTATAGTGTAACATTTGCCATACCACAATTTAAGGCTATGTCAGCACTTTGCCCCCTTTAAGAGGCTTATAAGTCTGAAAGCCTCTGGCCTGAAACGTGATAAATACATCCAGTGAAAAATAATCTGAATTGTAGAGTCAGTGAGATGCCTTGAATTGAAAAGCAGTCATGCCAAAAGCAGTCTCGAACTCGTAGTGGATGGAAGATTAGATATGAGTTGCAAAGAGATCTAAAAGTAAATCACTTCATGCATATGTTGAAGAACTGCCAGTGGACCAAGTTTTTAGAATATATACTCTTAAGTTTCTCAGTAAAATTATAACTAAGAATGAAAAATATGCCTGAACACATGTTCCAGACCTCAGCAACTGCTGGCCGAAAGTTTTAGCAAACCAACAAAGCCCATCCTTTCTCCAAGGCAGCCTTCCCCCACCCAAGTGTTTTAGGGAACCCACTGGAACTGTACAATAGACATTTTCCCATTAATCCCCTGTGCAAACACCCTGAAATCACAACTGCCCTTCACAGACACCACTCAGGGCCTGGCCACAGAGCTGGGTACACAGAGCACAGAGCTGATCCCCCCTGGCCATGGACACAGCACAAGCCCAGAAGTGCTGCAGCAATCAGCTGGGTGATGCAACTGAGCCACTTCTTCACTAGTGAATACCCCAGAGAGAAGGAATAAAAACACAAAGGAAAAGGAAAAAAAGAGGAAAGGAAAAGGGGGGAAGGGGCTGGGGGAGGAACTCCCAATCACACAAAGTGAAAATAAGCCACAGCCTTCTGCAGTTGCCACAGTCTAAGGGTGGTTCAGTTAGTGCCAATACAGTTCAATGCAGTTTAATTACAAATCCAGAAACACTGAACTGGACTATCTGTAATTTGGCTGCACACCCCTATAAACAGGCCCAAGTAGCTGAATTCAAGCATCCTGAACCAGAGCTTTATCCAGGCTCCAGCTCATTTGGCAAAGCAGCTTAGCCAGTGTAGAGATACTGATCTGCCCCAATTTCCATCAAAGCACAGGGCCTGAGATGGCTGGCACAGGTCAGGACATGGCTGTGGAACCAAAGTGCCACTTCAGCTGTGAAAGGACTCAGCACTGGCACCACACACATTTTGGATCATGCCTTGCTAAGTTGTCACAATGAGCTGCACTACATTTTTTAAGTCCCAGAATCCATTTGTTTTACCATCAAGCATCTATCAATTCTACAGCATTTGATGGAGCAGGACAGAAAACAGAAGCCATGTCAGGCCTGCCTTCCCCTCCCAGGCTGTAATTTCTGCATTGAGTCTTCTACAAAAACAGCAAAAAAATGTCACTAGTTGTGTATTCAATGCAAATAAGAAAGAAATTTCCTGTAGTCATAAAACATTGCCTATAGCTGCAATCTGTCCTCATTCGATATGAAACAGAATCTCTCCTTTTCACAGGAATCTCTCATACACGGGGAAAATTCCACTCAAGTCAATAAAGTTACACTTTTTTTGATTTTTAGAAACTAAAGAAGAAATTCAGTAATCAGCATTTCTTCTAAAAAACAGCAGGAACAGTTCCACCTCACAACAAACCTCAGAAAACAACATACCAGAAAAAACCCATTCTGATAATCCCATCCCCACTTCAGAGCCAGTCCTTGAAGGAGCAGTTATTCGGCAGACACTATAAGACGACAACCTGGCATCAGGCATGTTAATAAAAATTATGTCAGTGGGCAGAAGTCCCTCTCTGGTGGAAATCTGCAGGGTACAGACAGAGCTGATAACCCTGCACTACCCCTCTTAGAATAAACTTTTGGGGAATGGTGACCTTAGAGCAGGTGGTGGTTCCAGGTGTACGGGCAAAGGAAAGAATGAACACACCTCGCAGCACTAGTTCATGTCTGATACAAGTCCAGGCACAGTCATCCCAGAGGTTGGTTTGGCTGATCCAAGTGATCCTGGGGAGGTTTTATGTGCTTCCAAGGGCCTCCCTGCCATCCACACCCACGTGAGGGAGCAGGGGAACCGCTGCCTCCAGGGGCTTTGGGAGAAGGAGGGCAATAGACACCTTACATGAACTGGACTTCAAACACAGGCTGCAAAGGAGAAACCACAGCAGCAATGATCCCAGGAAGGCTCCTGGAGGAATGAGATACTTATCAGAGATTTAGAGAGGATGGAACCAAAAGGACATGGGAATGTCACTAAGAGCATTTCAGAAGAGCTTTTTGATATGGGTGGTTGGAAAATGAAACACAAACTCATTCTGACATCATCTTTTGCAATGACAGTAAGAAAAGGATAAAGTAAAAAGAGAGGAAATTATTTTTCTCTATGAGGAAATATAATTTTTCTTATCTCCAAAAGATCTCCATGTTCCATGGAAAGTCCATGAACAAGGTGATCTTATTAACTCACTGCATACATGAGAATTATATTGTAGAGAAAGGTGACACCAAGTACCCATGTGTCAAGCAGAAGGAAAAAAATTGAGGAAAATCTCACATGGACTGGAAACAAGGACAACGTACAAAGATAAAGTAACAATGGGAAAAAAGGAATATACTAACCAAGCTTATACATGAAACAAAAATGACACAAAGTTTATTTTAAGTGAAATTACATTACAGTAGCAAGAATCAAGTCAAAAGAAGACAGCACTCAGTAGTTAAAGAAGGTCCAATTAAA